AAAAAAAAAAAAAAAAAAAAAAAAAAAAAAAAAAAAAAAAAAAAAAAAAAAATATATATATATATATATATATATATTATTGTAGTTTAGTATATTACCTTCAGTCTCTGTTGTAGAAGTTGTATTAGTTGTAAACAAACTGTTATCGTCACTTCCTGATTCTTTCTCAGATTCATTATCCTATTCTAACCTGTTTTCAAATCCACCATTACTTTCTATTTCATTTTCAAGTTCACCGCTTTCTGATCCATTTTCAAGTCCGTTATAACTTTCAACCCATTTACAAATTCATGACTACACCCTAATCTATTCACAAATTCATTATTGCTTTTCAAGCAATTTTCAAATTCATTACCACTTAACCAGTCTGTAAAGTCATTATCGCTTTCTAAATTGTGGTTAAGCTCATTATCCCTGCAATTATCAGATTCATTATTCCTTTCTAAGATGTTCTCAAGGTCTTAATCAAAAATGCATGGAGATGTATTTATGATTGGACTCTGAATATCATCTTGAAGCATCGATTCATTACTAAGACTTCGATGGTTTCGTCTATTACGTTGCCGATGCCGAACTCTGGCACTTTTCAATACTAAGGATCCACCGTATTTATTTAACGAACATGTTTAACAAGTACACCAAACCCGCATCTCAGACATCGCATTAATTATTTTTAAGAAAATTTATAAAAAAAAAAAAATCAATTTTCTTTTTAAAATACTTTTTCATTGAATTGTATAAATAAACTTATGAATAAACTTATACTAATATTTCATTATTACTAATTGAATATACTTTATTATTTGTGTCATCATAAATTATCACATTACTAATTGAATGTCGCATTGTATAACATACTACTTTTTACATAAAAGAAATAAATTGTTGCCTTTTATAGTCGTTACAATTAAATAATTTATTACTACAAATGGGTTATAAAAAAAAACAACCGAATAAGGGTTAACGAAAAGCCAACGCAAGTGACGAAGAGGCCAATAAAAACAAACAATCGAAAAAGGGTAAACGAAAAGCCAATAATGCAAGTGATGAAGAAAGCTCCAACCAGTTTGTGACAGACGTTGAAGTTGACAAAAATAAGCAAGATTTGGATACTGATAATGAAGACTTTTCAACAAATAATGAAATTTTAGCTTTGCTTAAAAGATTGGAAACTTTGGAAAAGCTTCAGGCTGCCTGTAACAAGAAGACAAAAAATCGAAAATTCGATGCCAATTTTGACGATACTGATAACGATGCATCCAAAAAAAGAAGAAACAAAAATATTAAAAAAAAGAAAAACCACAAAAAAAAAAATAAAGATACATCTAGTTCAGAATCGGAAAGCACTAGCGATGAGGTTTCTATTGTATATATATATTCCTCAATCTTTACTGATATCATTATTATACTGTATAATTCACAAAGAAATTGTTTTGCAAAAAAGTTAGTTCCAATTGAAAAGCCATGTGATACGTCGTATATTGATATTCCCAAAGCTCTTCAGCTGGACAAAGCTATATACAATAGTTATCGGGTAGCAAAATTATTGTCATTTTTACTGTAGTTTTTTTTATTATTATTTTATTTTGTTAATAGCCATTTTAGAAATCACTTCGTTTAATGGTGACAGCTAAATATGGAAAAGAAATTCCCGAGTTTCGAAAAATACCAGAGAATGAAAAAAGTGAAATTATTAAAAGGGCAAATATAATTTAATTTCAATTGCTCTTTCTAATTGCTTTTAAATAATTAAATGAATTTTTTATTTAGTTTAAGCGCAGGAATCCAAGGTTTTCTCCTACTGCTTGTGATTGGGCTGTTAGACGAATGATGCGGGGAATAATTAATAATAAACATATGTATATATGTAATATCACACGATATAAAAGTGTATAAAACTAATCGATTCATTCTCTCTATAGGGGATATTAAAAAGCGTAATAAGAGAATTCGTTTATCTCATAATGGTAAGAAAGAAAAACAGGTAAAAAATAAAAAAAATTGTTAATTCCTATAATCTATTTCTCTTTTATAAATTAAGATCTATCGGCCGGAATGAGCGATACTATACAATCATCCTCGCAGGTTTCTACTTATTTAACATCAAATGAAACCCTTGAAGAATCTGTATGTATACTAAAACATGAAGTATTTTATGTAAAGAAAAAATAAATTTTTTTTTTAATATCATACACTTTTCATTTAACTATTAGAGAGCACACCTTTCGTGTCTTCTGAGATTGCCATCCTAATTCGACTTTTCAGAGTTAAAGTGCAAAATAACTTTCCAATAAAGCTTTTCATAAGATTATGAAGGCTGTAGTCACGAAACCAATAAGCCTACACTTAATTAAAAAAAAATTGTTATCATTAATTCCATTCAAGCCTAAATGGGTAGATATGTGTATCAATAGCTGTTGTGCCTATACAAATAATTTTAACAACCTAAAAGAATGTCCATTTTGTAAAGAAGAGCGTTACCAAGATCGATTTCAAATAGACAAGCCACATCGCCAATTTGCGTACTTCTCAATTATTGATCATGTAATTATTCAATATCAAGACATTATACAAGCAAAAAATTTATTATATCGTTCTGAATATGTTTCAAGACCAGAATATTATTCTAATGAATATATCGGAGATGTATTTGATGGTCAGCATTATAAAGACCTAGTAGAGGAAGGTTATTTTAAGGAAAAACACGATATTGCATTATTAACATTGATCGATGGGTTTCAAATTTTTAAACAGAAAACAGACGATTGCTAGATTTTGTTATTTATAAATGCAAACTTACCACTGGAACAATGTGTAAAAAAAGAAAATCTCTTGATTTCTACAGTTATACCCGGCCCCAAAGAACCGAAAGATCTAAATTCTTTCTTATTTCTTGCTATCTCTGAATTACATAAATTAGAGAAGGGAATAGAATGTTCAAGTGTCAATTGTAATGACAAATTTATTTTACGCGGTTGTGTATTATCATGGTCCGGTGATACACCTGCACTTACAAAATTAATGGGTCTCACAGGTCATAATTCGTACAGTGGATATTGTTATTGCAATATAGTTGGAACTTATTCTTCACATGTATACTATCCTACTCAATTGCCTAAAGAAAAAAATGGTGAAAATTATAATCTGGCAAATTTACCTCTTAGAACTCATAATGAGTTCAAAAGACGAATACAAGAAATACAAGATGCGCAAATAAAGTCAGAACAAAGTCAAATTATAAAACGTTACGGTATTTCTAAAAGAAGTATCTTGTTTAATCTTAATACCACTAATTTTCTAAGGACATTCCCTGTGGATATTATGCATTTGTTTTATAAGAACATCGCCGGTTATATGCTTAATCACTGGATGGGTTCTTTTTTTATAGATCCAAATCTAAATGATAGCAAATATGTTTTAAGTAAAGAAACATGAGATAAAATCGGAAAAGAGATGCATCTAGTTCGAAAAGCTATTCCGTCAAATCTAGGTCGGCCATTGAGAAATATTGTTTTGTATTGTAATGGTTACAAAGCTGAAGAATGGTCCTCCTGGATTACTATGTATTCGTTATCGTTTCTTAAAAACCATTTGCCCAAAAAATATTATGAAGGCTGGGGTTTATTTGTGAAGACTGTTCGGTTATGTCAAAAACAGACTATAACATCTAACGATTTAAACAAAATTTAATCATGCCTTCTGGCATTTTATGCCCATTATGAAAAAGAATATTACCGGGGAGTGTTGGATCGTTTAAGCACAATGAAAATGTGTATACATAATATGTTACATGTATCAGAAAGCATTTTTCAAACGGGACCTTGTTGTATGACGTGGCAATACCCAATTGAAAGAGTATGTGGAATGTTGCTTCTGTTAACAAAGTCAAGATTGCATCTATATAAAAACCTTATTAATAACATTTACTTGCTCGAAATTTTTAATTGTTTAAAGTTCAATCAAACGATCTATAATCAAATTTTTCCAAAAATTCCGCCCAAAATACATGACGAGCATCTAGCTTATACTGGGAATGGTCAAGACTTTTATTTTCCTTCAACTCAACATAGTTTAACACAAAGTGAATTGAGAAAAATCAAGCACCATTTTTCTACTACATCAAATATATCTGGCTTGCAACTTAGGTTTTTCAGTCAAACAGAAACAAAATATGGACGGCTCAGAACTAAAGATGGTCACTATATTGGGTCCAAGTGGATTCGTCAGAATAAAGATTGTCTCAGATTAATTATACTGTCCTGGTTAAAATAGAAGTCAACATTTATGCAAATTATCTAAAACGACTATCAGTGTTTAAGGTTCAAGATTTTTATGCCATTGTCGAATATTACCTACTTTATGAATTCGAAGAATCTAAGGTAATGCTAGCTTATATTCAGTGGATATCATCCGTCGAAGAGGACAACGTTAGTATAAAGAAATTTAACCGATTGGGGTCATATGCATTTATTAGTAATCATAGTGTAGGATTTATTGAAATTGACAAATCATTTTATATTGTGAATAAAGAGGTGGACAGTGATGAATAATAATAAATAAAATAAAAACTGCATAATTATTAATTATTATTATCATACATTTTTATACAATAATTATTGCATAATTATTAGTCAACTTACGGATTGTATACAGACAGTAATTAATTGTAGTTTAGTATTTCATATCGATATAATGATATTATTCAAATATCTTGAATAGTTATTAGACAAATTTGTACTATAATATTGAACAAATTTATGCAATTGTGCATTGTTATGTTATTATTCAAATATTTTGAATAATTATTAGACAAATTTGTACTACAATATTGAACAAATTTATGCAATTGTATATTGTTATGTTATTATTCAAATATTTTGAATAATTATTAGACAAATTTGTACTATCATACATTTTTATACAATTATCGATAAATCACATTTACACGCCTCGGTATAAAAATTGTACAATATTGCATCCATTTTAAACATAAACTGTATAAGGTCGAACAAAAATATAACATATACTGTATAAATCTTTTTTATAGGACTTGGATTCAAATGAATCTGAATTGGGTTCACTTGAACCCGACTTGGGTTCAAATGAACCCGAATTGGGTACACTTGAACCCGGCTTGGGTCAAATGAACCCGGCTTGGGTCAAATGAACCCGACTTGGGTTTAAATGAACCCGGATTGGGTTCACTTGAACCCGACTTGGGTTCAAATGAAACCGGATTGGGTTCACTTGAACCCAACTTGGGTTCAAATGAACCCAAATTAGAGATGGGAACAGCTATGGCTACAGCTGGCTATAGCTGGCTATAGCCATAGCCGATATTAGCCGAGCTGAGTGGCTTAGCCAGCCGGTTAAAATTATAGTTGATGTCAGATTTTTAATGTCCAGGTTAACAAATTAATAATCTAGTAATAAATCATATCGGCAGATCTGCATCATCTGATAAATGCCAAAATCAGCATCAGTCGTGACAATTATTAAACTAACATACAATTGGTTTAGATATTTGATAAAATAATTAATTTAATATTTGATCAGCTATAGCCGGCTATTTAGCTGCAGCTAGCCGGTAATAGCCAGCCAATAGCTAGCCATGGCCAGCCTGATCCCATTTCTAAATATATGGGGGGGAGTCAGTAGAAATGGAACAAATTTTTTCTAAGTAAAAGTTTTCTTAACTTTAAATTTAAATATCTTGTCAACTA